TAAACACTAAAAAAGGCAGATGTGGACCTGTGGTTCAATGGGTAGAACAGTATCATTGAGCCAAAAAGCTAAGGGATAGTGCCCAGTCTCTGATCTCCAGTAGTGGAACCTGCACACACACACACACACACACACACACACACACACACACACACACACACACACAGTGTTAGAACGAAATGTAAAGTTGAATAGTGGTCCATTAAAAGAATTATCTGCCCTGTCTACAAATCACCCAATTGAAGTTCCTTTTCCATATCTTCACATGTTGGTGTCATGTGAGAATCATTCCAGACTAATTAAAATGGATGGAAATACACTTTCCTATCATGTGTGCCCTCATCTAAGTCACCACAATTTTAAACTATGGAATATAAAAGAAAGTGCTCAAAGACTATAGATATGTTTGGTGATGTCTTAAAGATGACAAAGCTCATAGTAGACAGTTCTAGGGTCCTTTGAGTACTGCTGGCCTCCACTGAAGTGTGCCAACCAATGAGTCATCTGATCAGGAAATCCAGCAGTGAACATTTGTATGAATGAGAGAAACATCTGTATGTGATGTCATGACTAGTAGAGGTTTTAAAAAAATTTGTTATAGTAAGTCTTATCAAGTTCAGTGAAAAAATTTTGATAAGTAATGTCAAGAATCTTTCTTATAAATGCTAAATTTCACACATTGGAATCTGAAATCAGCTTACAAGAATTTAAGCAAATAAATAAATTCATGAGTAATAGAATTATATAAGAAAACAGAACTTTCATTCTCTAAATATTTCAGTAAATTCATAATGAATAATGTATAACATATTAGAAACCTTCTGCATATGATTTTGGGTCATTTTTTAGATAGTAACACTTTGGAGTAAAAGTTCCTATTTTGGTTTAGGAAAAGATGAACTTTCTTAGAGAAAGCCATACACATAATCTTCTTCTCTACTTGCTGACTTCTGTTTGCAGGCCATTAATGCTAGAAAGGGATCCTTGGAATTCACTACTGGTAACTCTGCACCACTGGAACTATTTCAACAAGAAAGATAATTTACTACTGCAATGTTTTCTAATTTTAAATTTTAGTTTTGTACCTTCTAATGTGGTGGTGGTTTAATGACCCACATTTGACCACCTGTCATGTCACTGCACTCTGTTTCATGGTGAAGTCATTTCCATAGAGAAAAACAAAGACTCTGCAGTAGAATTGTTTTTTTTTTATAAAATTAAAATTTCCATTAAACCTGACTTATTTTTTTCTCTTGTAGTTTCTTAGAAAGCAATATCCATAGTTCTTGTGGGCTAAAACAAAACATAATTTGAATTGTTATGAAAGTGAAACAAAGTGAACTCTGAAGCAAAAATGGCAAACCTCAACCAAGCAGGGCGGCCTTGACACTCTTCTCAGGTCCAGCATGTGGAGATCTGGAGGATTAGACATCAAACCTCTCCAGGCAGAAAGTTGAAATATTACATCCTAAAATAACTGAAGCAAATGGAGACGGGGGAGCAGGGCTCAAGTGGGAGAGTGCATGCCTAGCAAGTGCAGGTCCTGACAACAAAACCCTGGTATTCAAACCAATTTGTATGTAAATAATCACAAATGACAAAGTGTTCATGGCAAAATTCAACATAGCAAAGATGTGAAAACACCGAAGTTCAATGCAGACTATCAGAAAGGAATGGAAATAGCTGTTTCTAATGTATCTAAGGAAGAGCTACTTCAAGGTTAGTGAATTGCCTCTTTTTTGCAATAGCAGATGCATATCTTTCTTCTCATGAATGGTTTGGGATAAGCCATGAGGAAAAAAGGAGACTCAAACCAATCAACTCAGAGGAGCCAGTCCCTGGAAAGATAGTGATAGTTATCTTGACTGAGGATCCACACAGTCAATAATCCACACTCTCATAGGAAAGACTGCCTTCAAATGGAGAAATAAGAAGAGAGAATCTGATCGTTTCCAAAGTTTTTATCTTATTTTCAATAATACTAATACTAAAACTAATACATAAGAATGGTAAGTCAATTCTTGTTCTAAACATCTTTGAAAATATCTACTCTCTCCCAAATAGGACTGGGTGTGTGATGCCCATCTATACAGTTTTGGAGGAAAACATAAACATGGAGGGATGGATGAAGTATTCCAAACACACCCATGATCTAATATCACTACCTGAGGAAGAGTTAAGATAATGGCTCCATTGGAAAGGTCCATTATTGAAAATGAAGAATAGATATGGCCATTGGGCAGGATGCCGGTGGCCTATGCCCATAATCCTAGCTATTCAGGAGGCTGTGATCTGAGGATCACAGTTCAAAGCTAGCCAGGGCAGAAAAATCCATGAGATTCTTTTATCCATTTAATCACCAGAAAATCAGAAGTGGCACTGTAGCTCAAAGTGGTAGAGCCCTTGAGCAAAAGAGCTCAGGGACAGCACCCAGGCCCTTAGTTCAAGCCCTGTGACTGACCAAAAAAAAAAAAAACCAAAAAAACAAGAAAGTGGAAATGGGCATATGAATGAACATCCAAGTAGAAGCCACAGCTTAAAAACATAAAGTGCTGAGATGATAAAGGATCCTAGGTGTCACTTCCAATAAAAAATGTACTATTACCCATTGTTTCGTAAAGCAACAGAATTCTAATGTAACTTTGTCTTAGTTCTAAGGAAATATGGAGTAAACACAAGTGGTTTTAGTGCCAGGAGCCAGAGTCATTAACAAAGCACCGTTGGTCTCTTGCTAGACCATCCAGATATTTATTGCCATTCCTAGGTATTTATGCCAGACTCTATTCATTGACTAAATGTGAACAGGAAATACCTTTAAGGGAAGAATAACAAAGTTTTACCATTTCTGCATTCATTCTACTTTCTTGGTCTAATATATTTGGAGATTAGATAAGGAAAAGTAAAAAACAGACTCCTCAAAATTTTACACAAAGGCAAACAATAGTGTCACATATAGTAAACAAAAATGGTTAATAGGCCTACCATATTTTGGGTATTACTTCCAGGAAAATATTCTGCTAAGCATCTTAAAAATGAATGGTTTCATTTATTATTAACAATTATATTGATATTCTGAACTCAATTTGTCTTAATATTTTCATTTTTAATTTAATGTTACTGTCAAGGTGATGTACAAAGAGCTTACAGTTACATACATAAGGTAGTGAGTACATTTCCTGTCAAACTTTTTACCCTCTCCCTCATTTTTCTCCCACTTTCTCCCCAACCTCCCTACCCCACTTCCCTCCACAAGGTGTGCAGTTCATTTCCAACATAGTGTCTGTGAGTATCGCTGCTTCACTGGTTCCCCCTTTGTTCTTTGTCTCACCATTTTATTGTTCCCCTTCTCTTCCCTAATTCAGATAAACCTATATGCAATACCCAGGGTAACAAAATCAAATACAGTGACAACAGGGGATAAACCATAGGGGGGAAAACACAAAAGAAAAAAGAAACCATATAGTGCATTAAAAACAACATCATCAAAGAAAAACCTCTTGTTTCCATGTCCTGGAGTTCATTTCACTTAGCATCATCTTCTATGGTCATATGTAGATAGCTATTGGCTATTGTGCTCACCTGCTAGGAATATCCTAGACATATACTAACCATTACAAATGAGGGAAACCATGGGATCTGGCAATCAGAGCCCCAATGGCGCCACTGCCATCCATGTTCCCAGAGCAGTGGACAGCTTCAGTCCACACCTTCCCTGCACCCGCTGGTTCCTCTCCCAAGCAAGCTGATTTTCTTAAATTCACGTTCCTTCACATCTCCTTTGGTGTTCTTTTAATGTGAGGCTCTCCCATCTCTGTTTCCCTTGGGCTCTATGGCCTCTTGTTTTAACATTTGAAGAATAGTAAATTTATGTTTCATTTGCTCTCTGCAGACAATTTTCATACTCCCCTTGGAATATCTCAGTGTTCCCCTGTTAACTTTGACCAACTCTGATCCTTATACATTGCAAACTCATGTATGAAACTAGATGTGTCCAGATGGGCCACATATCTGCGGAGATTGCAGTCAATTCATACATTTCTGCCTTTCTGAAAGTCCTTCATGCTGCAGGCTGTGACCACTTTCCTGTGGCCATTTCATTAGATTTCCCATCATAGCATGTTAAGAAAGGTTATAGCTTTTAGATTTCCTTCACTAAAAGAAGCAAAGATACAAAAGAACATAAGTGTAGCCTGAAGGCAGCATGCAATCTGGTTTAGAGAACATCAGGTTCAAATTTTTTGTTCTGTGTATTTGATCTCTCCCATGGCATTACACATGCTATGTAAACACAGGTCTTGGAGCACACTCTCTGTGCAGTGTAGGAAGATGCCGACTGACACCAAGATATGGACAAAAATCACGATGGGTAAATGACTTACATCTTTTTCCTTTGTTTTTTTTGGGTCCGGTCGTGGGGCCTGAACTCTGGACCTGGGCGCTGTCCCTCAGCTCTTCAGCTCAAGGCTAGCGCTCTATCACTTGAGCCATAGCGCCACTTCTGGCTTTTTTCTTCTTGCTTATGTGGTGCTGGGGAATCGAACCCAGGGCCTCAGGCATGCAAGGCAAACACTCTGCCACTGAGCCACCTTCCCAGCCCCCCCATCTTTTTCCTTTTATAAGGCTCACAAGTACTGCAGGTTTCCAGGTGAAAATTAAACACATAAAAAAAGCTTTTTTAGCAAAATTTTAATTTAAAAAGTAAGACATAAAATATAAAACCACAATGTAAAGGTATACAAAATAATATATATGAATATAAAATAATTTAAATCTGGCACATTAAATATTAAATAAATACATAAATAGAGGGATAGATATATGCAAAAGAAGAGAGTCTAGAGAGTTGAACACAAATGAACCAACACTTCTGAAAACGTCTAAGAACTTCACTGAAGTCATGTCAAATGATAGCACAAATGACAGCTTCAGAGAATGGCAGAGTCTGCTGAAGGGAGCTACTGTGTTCCATCAGTGAGGGCCATTCCCATGAGAAGTAGAGCTCATTCCTCACTCTTTATCCTTTCTACCAGGTTTGCAGATGAGGAAAAGTATCTCATGATTTCTGCCCTGACAACCTCCCAGGCACAAGGGCTGAACTTCTTCTCCTGCAGGTAGAGAGAGATCCTGCGGAAGTGTTTCCTCACAGCCAGTGTGGAGTCCTCAAGCACCATGGCAGGCTCCTGCTCTCCCACCTCCTGGCTCAGACAGGCTCTCAGCTCCTGCAGCTGCTCATGGAGGCCAGCGCACAGTTTGTTCACAAGGCTCTTCTCCCAAGGGGCAGGCCAGGTCTTTGTGCTGAAGAGGCTGTAGATCTGCCTGGTCATCTCATGGAGGACAGCGATGGCTTGAGCCTTCTGGACCTGCTCTCCATCCAATGCCTCCTGGGGGAAGCCAAAGTCCTTTCTGTCCTTCAGGCAGGAGAAAAGGGAGACTCTCCTCATCTGTCCCAGGAGGAGCAAGGCTCTTCTGTTGCCCAGGCTGTGGGTGGGAGGCAGCTCACAGCCCAGAGAGCAGGTTGCCCTGCAGCTGAGCACCACCAGGGTCACCAGGAAGGCCAAGGGCAAGGGCATTGTGGATGGGCGGATGCTGCTGGACTGGCTGAGGTGCTGATGGGAGCCTCTGCCTCTGGGGAGTGTGAAGACCTTGGTGTGCTCCCTTGGCTTAAGTAGGGATGCTCGAGGTTCCATTTTCTGAATGCCTTCCTCCTTTCTACTTCTCTTTTTGTTTTCATTTATGCTTTCATGTTTCAATTTAGAGCGGCATCTCCCAACCATATTTTTCCTCTGTTGGTTTTCCACCTGGTTCCCTGACAGACTTTTAGTAGTGTGTGTATTTTTTTAATAGAATGCCTGACTAAAATTCAACAGTCATATGTGTTAAGATATTACTATCCTATATACCATTTAATAGTACTTTAAAAGTCATGCAAATTTTAGTTTCTCATTGAATGCACCTTAGGTTAAACTATAAAATATTGTAAGGTTAAATGTAAAATATATCTGAGTGCCAGTCACTCATACTTGACTATGAGACTAGAGGGTTCATAGTTTGAGGCCATCTCAAAGAGATGAGAAAAATTCATGACACTCCATCTCAAATTATGAATCCAGGAACAGTAGCAATACTCTTATCACACCTATAAAAGGAAACCTAAAATAAGTTGACAAACCAGTGCTCAGGCATACAGGTGAAGCAGCCATCATGAGCCTATCTCAAGATGGGGCTGGAGGCGTGGCTAAGAAGTAAAATAACAGTTACACACACTATAAGACAGACACAGTACTGCCCTTAACCATGAAGTAAAGTACATTGCTATTGCCAGTAAAGTACTTTTGTATGTATGTTAGTGGAATTGAATTTATCAGTTGTGATTTTTCTTGTAAATTGCATGTCATATCTTTATTTTTATTGTAATATGTATACTGCTAGAAGTACTAATGAATCAGCGTATATATTCAATTTATAAATGCATAAAATAAATGATACCAGAAAAACACCCGTGAATTTTCTTTCAAACAGCGTTGTTTCAAAACTGCTAAATCTTTATGAAGATACCACATTAGTAAATAACTTTGTTATACATGAGGAAATAATCATTCCTTCAGCATCGGGTAGATCATCATGTTAGTCAACATTTTTCCTATCTAGAATGTGATATAATCATGAATGGGTTGAAAAACCTTAGTAGAATTAAATAGTAAAATACAACAAACCTGTGCTTATGCTTCACTCTCATAGGCCAAATCCAGTCAGAAGCACTCACGCTCACATCATAAGAATGCCATTAGAAGTCAATGGAGGCCCCATATATAGGGGAACCTTCATCAAGCTGTACTGGAGAAAATGACCTGCAGACACAGTCCTCTATTGCTGGAGGATTGTAGCAGGGATCCTGCACACATTATCTGTGTCCTCCATGAATTCAGTGACGTGGCTCATCATTGAATACATAAGGAAATCCATAAGTAAACTCTAAGGAATGAGATTTTATAGGAGTTGACTTTGGAAGGCGCCAAACTTGCAATATTTAAGTTGTGTTCACATACATCTCAAGAATACCTTTCCTCTTATTGAGGGGAATTCGTAATGAAAAATCATCATTATTATAAGAGTGGAAACATAATTCCAAGACCTACAAGATATACTTGAGAAGACAGTATACATAGAGAAATACTTAATTCTTCATGATTCCAAAATTCATAGTTGAAGATTGTATGTAATATTTTTTAAAGTACAATCATTTGGTTGTAGGGATACGGTTTTACGTTTATATTTTGGTTTCTAGTGTGTGAAGTAGAGAAAGAATCCTCAAAATATTCAAAACTCACTGTACATTTTAGTTTTCATGATGCTGCAGCACCTACAGGAAGCTCCCTGATCATATGCTCCACTGTCCATGATAGTAATAGACCTTATGTAGTTCAAGACTTCTCCTCATACTCTTGGCATCTTCCCTGAGAATAAATGGTGGAATTCAGTCAGAACCAATCACAACTATTTTTACATATTTTGTTTTGGAAAATCATTGGCTAAATTTTCTTTTAAAATATCTTGAACAGGTAATAACCTGAGACTCTTATCTCCAATTAAACACCAAAACAGCCAGCAGTAGAGCAGTGGCTCACATGCTAGAGCACTAGCCTTGACTGGAAAAACACAGGGATAGTGCCCAGCCTCTTAGTTCAAGCCATGGGGCTTGCTCAGAAACACACACACACACACACACACACACACACACACACACACACACACACACACACACACACACAAATAGCATTAGAACAAAATGTGAAGAGGATCCCATTGAAAGAACCTATTTTCTTTACCCAGAAATCACTGAACCCTTTTCCACATCTTCCCATCTTGGTGTCAATAAATTCAGAACAATTAGAAATGGCTTGACATAAAGTTTCCTGTACATTGTGGCCTGTGAATGTATCCTCATTTGAATCACAGTAATTTTTGACTATACAATATAGAGGACAGTGCTCAAAGACCACAGACATATTTGGGGTGATGCATTAAAGATGACAAAGCCCAGAGTAGACAGTTCTAGGGTCCTTCAAATAGTGCTGGCCTCCACTGAGGTTAGCGAACCAACAAGTGTCTGCTGAGGAAATCCAGCACTGAACATTTATATGAATGAGGCATACTTAAGCATTATGATGTCATGACTGATTAATTTTTGTTACAGGACGTCTTACCAATGTCAGTAAAAAACTCTTTAATACACAATGTCTTCAAGAACCTTCCCTATAAAAACTACATTTCATACCTTGGAGCCTGCAATCAGCTTTTAAGAATTTAAACATAAGTGTTATCATAAATGATAACATTATTTAAGAAAATACATGCCGGTGCTGGAGTCTCATAATGGAAATCCTATCTACTCAGGAGGCTGGTGAGATCTCAGGATGGAATTTCAAAGTCAGCCTGGGCAGTGAGACTCTTATCTGCAATTAACCACCAGAAAACCAAAAGTAGAGCTGTGGTTTAAAGTGGTAGAGTGATAGCCTTGAGCACAAAAAGCTCAAAGACAGCACCAGGCCCAGAGTGCAAGCCCATGATTGACAAATAAAGGAAAGAAAAGAAAATAGAGCTTTTATTCTCTATCCATTTTAGTAAATTCACAATGAATAGTGTACACCAGACTAGAGACATTCTGAGTTTGACTTCAGGTCATTTTCAGATAGTAAAATTTCTGAGTACAAGTTCCTTTTTGGCTTCAGAGAAAAAATGAACTGTGAATGTTGACTATGAATGCTGACCATGAATGCTGGAAAGGGATCCTTGGACTTTCCTTCTGATAACTCCACAGCACTGGAACTATTTCAACAAGTCATACCCTTCCCTACTGCAGTGCTTTCTAATTTTTAATTTTAGGTTTGTGCCTTCTCATGTGCTGGTGGTCTAATGATCTAAATTTGTCTACCTATTATGTCACTCTGTTCTGCTTCATGGTGAGGTAATTTCCATAGAGAAAAAGAAAGACACTGTGGTAGCATTGTTCATTGTTTAAATTGCCATTTCCTCTGACTTAGTTCTCTTTTACAGTTTCTTAGAAAGCAAAAATGATCGCTGTTTGTAGGCTAAAATGAAAATTACAACCCCATTTGCCATGAAAATGAAAGAAAGAAAGTGATCAGTGAAGGAAACTGACAAAGGACAACCAGGCAGGGCAGCCTTTGATAGTCCTCCCAAGTGGAGATCTGCAGCATTGGAGAGCAATCCTGTTCAGGCAGGAAGTTGGAATAATACCCCCTAAACTGGTCATGCAAGTGGAGATAAGGGAGCAGAGCTCAAGTGGGAGAGTGCATGTCTAGGAATGATAGGTTCTGACAAAAATAAGCCTGGTCTTTAAAAATAACCTTTAAGTCACTGCCACAAATGGCAAAGCAGTCATAGCAAACCAACATTGCAAAGATTCGAGAGGACTGAAGGTCAATGCTGAATTTCAAAAAGAAATAGAAATAGCTGTTTCTAACACATGCAAGGAGGAAATAGACCTAGGTTACTGAATTGTCTCATTTTTGCAAGAACAGATACATGACTTTCTTCTCTTTCATGGTTTTGGGATCAGCCATGAGGAAAAAGAGAGGCTCAAACAAACTCAATCTAAGGAAGGATGGTGGAAATTATCTTGTGTGAGGCTCTACCTAGTCGATAATCTAAGCATACAAGGGACAGTGTGGCTTCAGACAAAGAAAACGAAGAGGGAATTATCTCAATACTTCCTCTCTTAATCTGAATAACACACTATTAGTATGAATTATGTTTTTGAAAACAATACTACAAATCTAAGAACTGTGAATCAATCCCTATTCTATACATCTTTGAAAATATTTACTTGCTCCCAAATAGCATTGTTTGTGTTATACCTATCTATACCGTTTTGGAGAAAAACCTAATTATAGAGGGATGGATGAATTGTTCCAAACACACCCATGATTTCAGACCACCACTTGAGGAAGAATTCAGATAATGGCTCCATTGGAAAAATCTATTACTGAAAGTGAAGAACAGAAATGCACATGGAAATGAACATCTAAGGAGATTACACACCTTGAAGTCACAAAGTGCTGAGATCACAAAGGATCTTAGGTGCCACCTCCAATACGAAAGTGCTGTTGTGCATTGTTTTGTAAAGCAACAGAGCGTAATGAACCTTTAAGTTCTAAGGAAATATGAACAGACCGAAGTGTTTTTAGTGTCAGGAGCCAGTCATTAACAAAGCACCATGGGTTCCTCTGGTAATTCATCCAGATGTTTCTTGACAATTCTATGCATTTATGCAAGTCTCCATTTTTTCACTGAATGTAAATAGGTCACAATTTTGAAGGAAGGAGGACAAAGTCTCAGCATTTCTATAGTCATTCTGCTTTCTTGGACTAGTACTTTTGGAAATCAGCTCAGGAGGAGTAGAATACAGACTCCTCACAATTTCAGACCAAGACAAAAATGAGTGTCCCATATAGTAAAGAAATATGTTAACAGGCCTCCCACATTCTGGCTATTGTTTCCGTGGAAATATTCTACTAAGCACCTAAAATGCATGGTTTCCTTAACTATTGACAACTCTCTGAACAATTTGAACCCTTTTATTTAATCAGAAAACTGGGAGTTGCAGAGCATGGATGGGTTCACCATATCAGCCTTAAGTCAAAGCAGAATGGACTATCAGTATCAAATTGTTTATTCTGAGTATGGGTAATATTGTAAGTTTTGTACTGTGGAATTTTTTAACAGAGATGTATCTTCTTTAATTTTATTCATTTTATTAAACAGATATATCCTTTATTACACTGAAACTGTACACACGTAGAGAATTAAAAACAGATAACAAATTCTTTAGCACAACTTTAATTTAGAAAACCTAAAATTTATTACATATATAAGCTTTAATGTAAACTAACACATGATTATATATATATAACATTTTAAGTCTGGTAAACAGTTAAATAAAATATGTAAGTAGATGGATAGCTACAGCTGTATAGATAAAAGAGCAGAGAGTCTAGAGATTTGAATACAATCTGCCAACTGTTCTGAAAACATGGAAGAACTTCACTGATGTCCTATCAAACGATTGCAGGAATGACATCTTTAGAAAACTGCAGATGCTGCTGGACTGGCTGAGGTAGTGATGCTGATCCTCTGCCTCTGGGGTGTGTGAAGACCTGGATGGACTCCCTGGGCTTAGTAGAGGATGCTTGAGTCTCCATTTTCTGAATGTCTTCCTTTCTCCTTATCTTTTTTTTTTTATTTAGGGTTTCCTTCTTCCATTTAGAGGGGCATGTCACAAACAGTTGCTTTCCACATTGCCTTCTTTCTCCACCTTCCAGATTAGCTCATATTCTTCTTGTCACTTAGTTGAACTCCTGATTAATTTCTGGAATGTATGTATATAGCAATGTAATTGTATATACTGTCTATATTGCTGCTTTGTACTTAAAAAGTGCAAATGCTGGGTTAAAATGACAATA